TTAGCACCAACTGGAAAACTTATCAAGTACATCAAAGCCCTCAATGGCTGCTGAAAGTTTCCAAGAGCAGAACATTTGAGTACAGCCCCTCTTAAATCCTCATACAATTGCTTCAAGATCGTTTCCATGGAATCGTAATCGGAATCCCTAAACAACTCATCCAAAAAACCAGGAGGAGAAGAGGCACCACCACTACTACCACCACCAAAAGTATCAATTGAACTAGAAACTTCAGAGAAAATCAAAGGCAACAATGGAGAAACATTCGATTTATCTCTTTGGGAATCGGCGAACATATCGGGGTTACCTAAGTGAATTCTACAATATTTCGCTTGATTTACAACTAACTCCATCTGAGCCCTAACTGATTTATCTTTCATATTAGTGATTTTCTTCCCTTCATATGCGCGACGATCAACAAGAACTCGTTCCATCACATCCCTAGAAAGTCTCAGTTCACCGCCTTCGCTTAAAATCTCAGCTGCCGTCATCTCCAAGTAAACAGCTCGTGTATCGTTCCCCATTGAATCTATTTGAGTTACAAGGAAGATTTTGCTTAGGATTATGTCCTCGATTTCCTCAGCGATCGCAGCGGTTTTGCGGTGGTCGTCGCCATAGTCTCAGAATTGATTTGATTTGATTGAAGACGGTGAAAATGGGCAGGTTTGATTATTTTGAATGGGTAAAGAAGAAGGATCAACAAAAAGTTTCTAAGAATTTTGTTTCTCCATAGTCAACAAGCCAATGGAGGCTTGTATGTATCTATAGACTTGATGTACATATACATATAATAATTATAGATAATATACATACATATACATAAATAACATAATAGATAATATACTTTATATTTTTTTTAATTGCCGATTCATTAAAAGCTAGCAAGAGGCTAGAACAAAAATATAGTACAATGAGCAAACATTACATGAAACAAGCAACAAAATGAGAGATACACAATCATGTCAAATTGTCAATAAACATAACTTAAACTAGGTCTATGCTTAATCCAGTTGAATGAAATTAGTTGAATATCATCCACCACCTTAACTATTGAACACCAAATCATTTAAGGGTTTCCAAAAAAATCAGATCACCGCATATAAAAGAGTTAAGATGAGGTTCCTTCTATTTTTATCATGGGAAAAAGCTTTCAAAATACTAAGAAGGTCCTCATTCTGAACCAGCCAAGAAAACAACAACGACACCAAACCAAGAACCAATCCCATAAATGAATTGAGAAAGAATAGTTGAAAAAAATATGATCTACCTCCTTCTCTTAATTGTTACAAAAAGGACAAGAATAAGAACCAAAAGTGATCCCTCTCAACCACAAATTGGAAGCAATCGACACCAACCCAAGAACCAATCCCATAAATGAACTGAGAAAGAATAGTTGAAAAAATGTTATCTACCTCCTTCTCCGAGTTGTTACAAAAAGGACAATAATAAGAACCAAACGTGATCCCTCTCAACCACAAATTGGAAGCAACCAGAATCCTGTCAAGAAGAAACTTCTAAACAAAACAAATAACTTATATAGAATCCCACTTCATCCATATAAAACCACCAAGAATTCTATCACGTTCTAGTTTATCTGCCATCAAACTTCTTAAGAAACTAACAGAAAATACCACTTGACATACCTTTCCAGCACCACGAATTTGGAATATTGGGCAACTCTACATCATCAAACAAACTCATTAAATTGTTCAGCTCAGATTCTTCCATACCTTTTTTTCATAGAGTAAATTACACCAATGGTCCCTATGATTTAGGATAATTTGCACGTTTGGTCTCTAACTTATTTTTTTAACTCAGAAGGTCCCTACTATTTGTTTTTGTTACACGCTTGGTCCCTACTGTTTGCTTTTGTTACGTGTTTGGTCCCTGTCTTACCTAAAAATACTATTATTTAAATAGGAAAAAATGGTGGGATAGGTAAGATAAGGTGATAGAGATGGGGTTGTGGGTGTGTTTATTTAAATAAATTAAAAAATCAAGGGATATATAGTCTTTTTAGTTAAGACAGGGACCAAACGCGTAACAAAAACAAATAGTAGGGACCTTCCGAGTTAAAAAACTAAGTTAGGGATCAAACACGCAAATTACCTTAAACCATAAGGACCATTCGTGTAATTTACTTTTTTTCATATTTCTCTTCCACTGCCCCTAAAAACCAGCCCCAATACCACCATAAATTATGTCCAACACCAGACAGGTTTTGTTACTGTTCAGCTTGTAAAATCTAGGAAATGATTGTTTGAGAGTATAATCTCCATGCCACTTATCTTTCCAAAAAAAGAGTATGATTTCCTGCACCCATCTTTCTGAAAAACAAATTATCAAGAGAAAATTTCACTCAGTAAGTTCTCCATTTATTTAAAAAATAGACGACCAAGTGTCTGAAATACCCTTTTTGGCCAAAGGCATTCCATTAATCAATTTAAAGTTGTGCAAATATTTAATACAAAAATACCAAAACGATTCTAGTTCAACTTTCAGCATCCACCGCCATTTTGCAAGAAGCGCTACATTCAAAGTTCTAAGACTACCAACACCGAGACCTCCTTTGTGTTTAGGTAAAGTCACCAAGTCCTAAGAAACCCAATAAATTTTTCTTTGATTATTTAAACCACCCCAAAGAAACCTCCTTCGAATTCCTTCCAACAAATCAATATTTTTCCTCATGGCTTTGAAAAAGAGCAAAGTAATAAAGAGGAAGACTCCCCAAAACTGATTTTACCAATGTTAATCTACCCCCCAAAAGAGAGATTACGAGCTTTCCAAATAGAAAGCTTCGATCTAAATTTCTCCAAAATCAGGTCCCAATTCCTAGCAAGTTTCATATTCACACCGATAAGTGAAAGGAATACTTGTCAGCTCACAATGTAAAATATTAGCAAGACGACTTACATCAATATCCTCCACCCCAATGCCAAAAAACCTTTCTTTTAAAGAGGTTTAACTTTTAAACCGGAAGCAAGAAAGAAGCACCTAAGAATTCTGTTTAAGTTTACTTCAAACCATTCACCAATAAACATGGCATCATCCATACACATTAGATGTAAAAGATGAGAACCATTATGAGGTAAGGATATACCTTGAAAAAAGTGATGATCACAATCATCTTTTAAGGAAACACTAAAACCCTCCATAGTTAAGATAAAGAGAAATGGGGAGAGAGGATCTCCTTGCCTCACTCCCCTCTTGATGTCAAACTCTTTTGATGGAGATCTGTTAATTAAAATTGAGGCCCTCCCGAAAGAAAGACAAAGAGGTAGTCTCATTTGTTAAACGCAATATTTTGACCAGGTTCGGGATCCCTGCTGAAATCATATGCGACAATGGATCCCAATTCATAAGCAAGAGGACAAGAGACTTTTGCACGAGTTGGGGAATCAAAATGATAATGTCCACTCTTGTTCATCCCCAAGCTAATGGTCAAGCAGAATCTAGCAACAAGATCATAGTAAAGGATGGGTACGGCTGTGTGTGTGGTATTTTGGGGAACTCACTAAGCTTTGTGCTTACGATTTGTGGTTTAAAAGTTTCAGGTTTTCTTATAATAAAGGAAGGGCACGGCTTGATTGCACCGCATCAATGGGGACTTGTGTACATGAAAACTTTTAAGTGATACTCTGATAAATGTTTTAAGATATTGTAGTTGTGATTTGAATAAACACTTAAAGTTTTAATTGAAAATTTTGGGTTGAAATTTAGGACGTTACAACATGGGGATTGTTTAAAGCTACTCAAGTTTAGGGATGGGGATCAGGTCCTTTAACTGCTATTCAATACACTACTTCCTCAAGACCCAAAAATGCAAGTTTGGCCATATGTGTAAATTCAATCACCCAAAAGATAAATCTGCTCTTTTGGTAAGTTTCAATGTTTCAGTACACTATGTCGTGTGACTTTGATTTCAATTTATGTTGACATAGAAAATAAACAAGATTTTTCCATATGGCCAGGCTGTGTTTGTGAAACATTTTTATTCAATACCAACATTGATCTTGAAGCTGATATTTTTCTCATTTTCTTTTATTTCAACGTTTGTTGCTTCTCACAACCTGATTTACCCGTCTATTTCAATCAAACCAGGGACTCTGGGACATTTATCTAACATTTTGCAAAAATATAGAGGTTTCAATTCAAAAGAATCTACAGAGAAGAGGAATATTTTTTTATGAGGAATATAACGTAGTAAAACAAACTTTGGTTGATAACTCTATGAGTTTGCATCAAGAGATTAACTGAATTTGCAAAACTGATATTCCTAGTGATGTTGTTGTTCATTGGGGTGTATGCAAGGATGAGAGTAAATAATGAGAAATTCCAACTGGACCGTATCCAGATAAAACATCAATATTTAAGAACAAGGCTTTTTAAAATCAAAATGATGTTTGAATATTTTTGGTGGATAAATACTTTTTCCAAATATTTAATTTCTCATGTTGAAATTATGAGATTGTGTTAGATGATGGACCATTTGGATGTTGCATGGTATTTTTTTTCAAGTTTTGACTTTCTAATTATATTTTCACTTTTCAAAATGTGCATTAAACATAATGTTTGTTTTCATTAACCGAACCATGTATTTATCTAATTTATTGGTTTGGCTTTCTTTAATGTCCAAAATATCCTTGGGGAATATGAAAGTAAATTAATCAAGTTTTATTTTAGGTTTGGTATAATCTAATGTATTTCCAGGCTAGACATGAGCCTGTAAGTTCTTTTAAATGTTTATGAAATGGTTGTTTTAATAGAAACATACAACCCAAAACGGCACCGAGGGTAAAAAGGTCAATGTTTGCTACAAGGCTTGAAAGCACCATCAAGGTGATGAGAATTCTATCCACTCAAATATCTAAACAACATCGCCACAGGAGAGATAGACCCCCGAAGGGTAAAAAGGTCAATTCATAGACCAAATTAAAAAGATTAGCAAATTAATTAACATCCAAATGCATTCTCAATTGCAGCACCATGAACAAGTGAAGGCACCAAGGAGTAGAAGACATGTAGCCACAGGAGACGCACTGAGACCCATAAACCAGCACCAAGGGTAAAATGGTCAGACTTGGCACATAAAAGGTGCAAAAAAGTGATCTACTCAACAAAGTAGGAACCAATTGTTTACAAGTTTTTGATGTTCCAAGTTATTATGTAAATATGCTCTTGAATATGATAATGATTAATTTGGTGATGTGTTTTTAGATTGGGAGACCTGCTTTTGATCAATTTCTTAAGAAGCACATAGTTGCTTATAAGTTTGATTCGATTGATAAAGTATATGTTCCTTGATTTCTTGAAAGTGATTTTCCCTGGAATTGAGAAACAAATTGATTTAAAAATATGTATATGTTTTTTAATGCTATGGAGTCGATTTCTAATATTTGTAAAAAGGTAGTTTCATTAGCACATAAATTTAAGCAAGGCAGGATGCCAAGTGACGAATCATTTCCTTTACTAATTATTTTATGTGAAATATGATACATTTTTGGGAAACTATTATTGGCTGTCA